ATTCCATGGATTTTCCAGAATAGGACATTGGGTTACAAGAATCCCCCTCCACCACTTCCGGGCTTGGGCGTTCGGACTGAGGGTCGTGATAATGGAGGAAATCAACGGGACCCTTACGTTGAGGATTGGGCTGAGCTAGTTGATCCCTACAATGAATATGGAGCCCTTCCACCTCAGGGAACGTTCGATGTCCAACAACCTGGGAGTAGTACCGATCGCCCTAATGAGGCTTTGCTTTCTCCATCCAAGGGTGGCACTCAGCCTCGGACCAACGTTGAGGCTCCTAGTAGCTCAGCCTCAGCTCCTACCTACGTTGAACCCGAAATTGAGGAGGAGTATGATGTGTACGCGCGGGAGGCCCTTAGGATGCAGGCTACCTGGGATGGATTTGAGGAGGAGCATGAGCTAGAACTCCAGCAGGTGTTGATTGATGATGGGTCATGCTGTGCATTACTTCAGAATGACTTGGGACCTGGGCTTAATGATGACGTCGTCGTGAGTTTAGGGGCTCTGCTGATAGGGTCCAGTTGTTCCCAGGCTCAAGAGGAGTTTGAGTGCAAGGCGCTTTCGTGTCCAGCAGTTTTGGATGACGAGAATCGCAGTCAGACAACAGGCCATTCCTTTGGTGAGCACCAGGTGATTGGTGTTCCAACTGGAAATCCGATAAGGGTTTTTGGAGGGGGGTATCCTGTGACTTCGATGACCTCAACCAGCTCTGGATTGGATACTCCAGTGGTGAACAGGGTCGAGGAGGACATGTACACCCAGAATGTAGAGGAGATCTTGGAGGGCCTGACGTCCTCTTTGAAGGTGGTCCACAACGTGGCACCGGCAGAAGTCAAGAGACATCTGCCAAAGTGGCGCCAGGCGGCGTTGACTGAGGTGAATGCCTTAGAAGGCATGAAAGGAATTCGCCGCTTGTTGGGAGATGATGCAGTGCGAGAGTCAAGGGTTTCTGGTACTCAGATCTTACCTGCCAAGACTGTCTTCACGGTTAAACCGGGTTCCGGGAAGGATCTGTACCGACGCAAGTGCAGGGTGGTCGGCTGCGGGAACTTCGAAGCCAGGGATAGTGCTACTGATGTCTATGCCAGCGGTATACCCGCTGATGTTCTCCGAGCGTGTCTCATTGAAGCATCAGCGAG